GTTTGAAAGTAAAATTATGCTTTCGACTTAAACTCTCTAGTAATAAATATTCGGCACCGAATGCGTCAATACACGTTGTTTCGTCGTTAGTTTTGTTCTTTTGTTTGCAGTAAATGTAGGGAAAATAATCAATGTACACAACATTGAATACATGATTTTTTAAATCCTGAAAATCATTTGGAAGTAAATCGAGGGAGTAATTTCTTGAAACGTAACCATCATATTGCAATTTTTGATAAAGAATTAATTTCCCACTGGATTTTCCACAATAAAAACATATAGTAAACACTTTAACTTCTAAACCAAATTCAATTATGATGTTTCGTCCAGATTGGCGTAAATTTCTCCAAATTGTCACATTCCCAAAAGTTTCAGTATTTGATGTTAGAAAAATAAGAACATCATGAGAACGTACGTTATGTTGCATGTTCAAGTAAAATAAAAATTTCTCTGGATTTGTGAAAAGAATTAAATTGAGACATTGATGGCTTCTTGGTCTTGTTATATTTTTGCCACCTGGCATGTCGTTGTTGTAAATCGTTGTGAAAGTTTGATATTTTGAAAGAATTTCGTATGCGTAGTTTTGAGTAGTATTATCCACGTGTACAATTAAATAAAATTCGGAGTATATTTGGAGTATGTTGATGAGAATATTTGTGCCGCTTTTGGTTGGATTTGTAATTTTGAAATTTGTGTAGTTGATACTAAACACGGGGGTCATTAAGAGAATAAAAATAAGTGAGTACATTTCGATCGGTTTTTGTAAATACTGAACCAATTCTAAATACTTTTACTGTATTGTTGACGATGCTTTAACGATCAAATTGTTTGATAACATTGGAATACAATTAATTACATATCTTATTAGCTTTAACACAAAAAGAAAAAAAATACGTGTAGCCTACATTTAATAATAATAATACAGTGTGTTACATTATGTAGAAAGTAATAAAACAGATGGCTTCAATTAAATTTCAAAGTAGCCTGTGTATATTTCAAAATGACATTACATACCAAAATTTAATGCTCGCAATTGTACATGTTTTAAAGCTCTGGTGCTTTTACATTTATTTGAATTAGTAATAATAATAATTAATAAAAAAAATCCTTTATTTTTATTACAAAACTGACCTTTTCTTTATTTAACTTGTATGAAAAAAACAATCAGGAAATATTGTTTTGTTTTAAATTTATTTTATTTGTTTTTTTAATTTAACGTGATTGAATTCAATCATAAGCAGAACTGTGCCTATATGGTCATTAATTTAACAATGTTTGTGTAAAATACGAGATCCTTAAATTAAGTACTTTTTGGTTAATTTAGAAGTATGAATTCGAAAATTTAGTAAAATGTCAAATCCGTTGATTCTTAAATGATAAATCTTAAATATGGAAGCATAAATCTACCATTAGTTTAATAAAAGAACTAATAAGGGTGATTTTTTTTTAATTTGGCGTCTGGTGGCGGTGATTATGAGTTTGTTGTAAACGGACAATTTCTAATACAATGGCAGACATGAAATTTTGGATATCAAATTAATTTCAATTCAAAAAATGTCATTGTAAGTCACGTTTTATTGACATTATGATTGACGTTTGAAACTGAATCTCAAAGTTTTAGTTGAAATTTATTGTTGGCGTCGACTTTCCGAAACAATAATGCCAGAATACGTGTTTTTATAACCATAAGTTATAAATTATTTTGATTTGTTGTCATTTTTTTTCTGTCAGTACAAAAATTACAAAAACCGAAAGTGAGGTTAGTTTTACATTTTTATGTCCGTTGAATGACAAATCGTACAAATTCTGTGTTCGCAATTGTACGCTTTCAATTTGCAATTAAACTTTCACGGCTAGCTTTGATGCCAAGTTAAAAAAGCACTCATTAAAATAAAGAAATAATAAATGAAATTTTTAAATATGTACTCAATTTATTGTAAAATTATTATTTCTGTTATTACCTCAATGTAAAACTGTTCTGATAATTTTAAAAATCAAAATTAAATATACCCAACTTGTCGAACAAGATTTTATTCAAAATATTGTTAAAAAATTTGACAACTGTTCATTTGACCTGAAATCTAAAAAAATCCACTTCAATATCCATAGATTTTCTTTTATGAAACTTATACGTAGACGGTAAATCGTAACGTAATTCTGCCAATACTTCGCCTTTAGCTCCAAAAGATTCAGCGACTTTTAAGACATGTGACCTAAAAAAAATCTAACATCTAACAAACACCTAACACCTCTGAAACAAAGCTCACCTAGTTGTAGTTTTATGTAGAGAATAGACAACATGATTAGAGAGGAGGAACGCAACTTCTAGAAATTTCATATCAATGCCGGTGTTATGTTTAGTACCAAAAGGAGGATTCATAATGACTGTATCAAACATTTTATGGAATCTAAGRAAAATTAAWGTAAAAAAGGCTTGCTMTGAAAATGAAACAAACCTATTTGGCATCATTTTAATTACATCACACTGTACACAATCTATGTTACTAACGTCTTGGTCTTCGACATTTTCCTGGAAAGTTTCTAGTGCATCTTCGTCAATTTCAAAGCCAATAACTAAGCTTGCATCCAAGACTGCGGCCCCAATTGCCAAAGCCCCACACCCACAACCCAAATCAGCCACAAACTTCCCCCTAAGGTCCCCATATTGCGACTAAAAAACACCAGAAATCACCCAATAACACTTAATCACAACAATACCTGAATGGTGTACAACATGTGTGACCCCAAATGGGCCGGGGTAACATACTGTTCTAACAAAATTTTTGGTTTCTCAAACGACGAGATACACTGAAGGCGCTCCTCTAAGTGTCTRAGTTTCAAACACGGCCACATTATTTACTATTTTCAAAACGCGGAAGCACTGGTAGAATAAAGTTACCAAAGGAGGAGTCTTGCGAGATGAAATAACCCGTCGATTGAGAGTTGGCGGTTTGGAGGGCGGCGCGTTGCAACGAACTCATTGAATAACCATCAGTTTGCTGAATATTCGGCGACCCCAAGACTGGCAACGACGACGAGTTTAAAGTCGAAGCGACCCCTTGCTTGAGCAGGAGTTGCTTCTTGAGTTGCAAATCTTCCAAAATTTTGCGATTTGCAAGTTCTGCTGAAGACATTTTAAACAAATCACACTTTTCTGAAACGATTTTACCTCTCTGAGCGTTCGGTTGCGGAAAAGCCATCAAATTTTCTCTTGTCACASTTTGAGGTTAATTGTCATCGGAACAGCATCGCCAACTTAATACTCAACAGTGGCCAATCAAAACGCTGCAATTTGGGAACATTTCAGTGGTCGTGTTGTCGACATTGAAGCCGAACCGAACCGAAAGTGAGGTTGTGTTACTTTTTCAATAAAATTGTTTTTGTTTGTAATTTAAAGATAATGAAACCATCAAATTCCTCAAATAAGGCAAGTTCGTCCACGCAGAAAACTAAAAGAAGCTTAAAAGACCGGGAAAAACGAAAGTCGCAAGGGGGCCCCACTGGACTTAACAACCATATCGGAACTGAGAAAGGGTCTCCGACTAAAGTATTATATCCCCGTTAATCACCTCATCTTTATTGACTATTTCAGGATTCTAATGCAAGGCTTTARGCAGGAATTGATTCTGATTCGATTATAAATTATGCGGAACAAATCGCAGTTGAGCATTTGAATGTAGACATAACAAATARCTTAACAGAAGATATAAATTATAGGTTGCGATATATTATAAATGTATGGCTAGAAATCACTCGAATTTTATTTAAACATTTATTTCAAGGATTCTCTAATCAAAGCAAGACTGTGTGGTAGAAATGCGATCAGTTCAAGTGATTTGGAACAAACGTTTGACAATTTGAGGATAGATAAAGTCTATGGGGCGCCATCACATCCCAATTGGGTCCCTTTTAGCGATGAGAATTTTCTGTATTTGGAGGTAAGTTCACATTTTTTCTTGGATAAGCGTGATAAATAATCTCACACAGAAACAATCCTAAAGAGATTGAAATTAACGATAAATATATTGCAAATATCATATAAAAATTATCAGATTGAATACTACTGTCTTGAGAGTCTGTAGTTGGTTTATCTGTCAGAATTTTCCTTCCCAAGAGTGCGTTTTTCTTCCACATTTCCAATAAACCGGCTATAATTAATTAAAAAATTATTGATACCTTATTAAAAAAATACAAATACATCACCACTTGTTACTTGTCTTATGGCATTATTTAAAGTGTGCACAAAGGGAGTTCCTTTTTTCAAAGCCCATGCATGTGGTGCTGCATTGAAAATTTTTGTTGTGAACCGATTTATCGATTCGTGTAGTTTTGTGTTATGTTCAGGACAATAGATTTGAGGGTGATATAAATTTCCTGTAATTTCGCCGGCTATTATGGCTCGATGAGTTTCAATATAAGAAATTAGCTCACAGTAGTGTCCCTTTTTTACAGTTTTGGGACTAAAAAAAATATATAATAACAACGATAGCTATTTTTACATAATTACTTATCAATAATTAATAGTTTTTCTTCCTTTACTAAGATTGATAAGTAACTGTTGAATTTACTCTTGTCGATTACGAAATGGTAATCTTCATTTAGTAGCTCCTGTAATGTGGCTGGGGGTTCAGGGTTGTAAACCATATAAGCGGTCATCTGACATTTAATATTCACGTTTCCAACCATTACGAATAACCACCAGTTTGTCATTAAAACGAGAAATGTTAGTTGTGGTCGACAACCGAGGATTTTTAGGGGGACTGGTTGTTCGTAGCAGCTTTGCAACAGCATCTGAAAACGAATAATTCATTAGAATAGAAGAATTTTTCGACTACTGTTTGTTAACAATAGCAAACATTTTGTACAACAGAAATCTAATTTTGATTCTCTTATATAAATAATAACATTATTATTTATTATTTCTATTTAGAAATAATCGGTCCGTTTTAAAAACTGACTTAATTAAAATAAATGACTGGTTTTTGTTTTTTTTTGGACAACAAAAGAGAAAATTGTTTTAAATTTACTTAGCAAATACCAGATTAATAGGAACAACCTCTCCGCTTTCTAGAAATTTAAAACCTAGGAATTGTCACTATAAATGCAATAAATAAAATAAATAAATTGTACAATGTTTTTTTTATTAATTTTATTGAAACGAGGAGGAAAAAAATTAAATGGAGTACCCAATTTTTTGTTTTTGCTTCTCAGAAATTATGAAACACAAAGTTTTCATTGTCTAAAGTTAAATACCTTTTTTGTAATCAGGTAGAGACACTTAAATGTTTATGTTTTTAGAAAGACAATTGAAAAGTTTTGATGCAAAAAAAATTTTTCCACTTAAAATTTTTAAGTTTTTTTAACTTCTCAACTCCAACTTTATAAAAATGGTAAAAGACTTCTTTTAAGCTAAATCAGTTTTTACAAGTGTGTCACAAAAGTTAAATTATTTCAAAGACTATGCAAAATGGACCAATACAAAGTTTACAGTATTAAAAACGCGTCCAAAAACGTAAAAAATATAGGGTGCTTCATTTAAAAGAATATAAATTCAAAAAATTTTTTGAAACACGTCAATTTGAAAATAATTCTACACAGGGTGCGCCAGAACTCGCGCCCCAGAGAAAAATTTCGAAGTGTGTTTGCTACAGGCTATTTTAGAAGAGGAAAGAAGGAAGCTGTATCCTAAATTGTAAATCTGTTTAATGTTATATGTGGTTTTTAGTGTCAAAATTTTTGTATTTTTACTAAATAATTATGAAAAAACATATCAAGATCATTAAATAGACACAAAAAATGTCAAATGTACAAAAAATGTGTGTCAAATTTTTTTGACATAATTTTATCCATGTTCCTCGTATCCTACCTTACTTGAAATTTTTCTCTGGGACGCGAGTTCTGACACACCCTGTATACATATTTTAACATTAAAATTAATGGACAATAAAGGACTCGCTGGGACCCTCTGTATATGTTTTTTTTTTCTTATATGGACCTAAGGAATCACCCTTCAAAGTCTTTAAACGTTTTTTCCGGACATTCTACATAAAATATTTATATCTTTCAATAATAGTCAGTGTTTTTCGATAACGCACAAATGACTCACTCTGTATATCTCATCTTATTTTACACTGTTTTATGCCAGTGGAATAAAAATAAATGAAGAATGAAAAACATACATGTTTAATTTTTTTGTTTAAAATACGTTCATTACCCATGCAATCTTCCAGTACGAAGCTTTTAAATCGGAATTGCAGTATTTTATAACCAAAAATAAAATAGTGGTCACAAGAAACAAAACGATCATTAAGGAAACCCAGATTTTCAGGCTAAAAAATTCATTCGCATAAGTTAATCGCTTCATAAATGATCTTTCATAGATGAAAATAAAAGCCATATCTTCAAATCTCAGTACTTCGCTGAATTTTAAAACTTGTCTTCTTGATTCGGTCAACGAAATTCCTCCGATACCCAAATCGTAATAACCCAAAGTTATTCCATTGATTAATTTATCGTAGGAAGAATTCGGTGCTTCAATTAGTTTGAAAGTAAAATTATGCTTTCGACTTAAACTCTCTAGTAATAAATATTCGGCACCGAATGCGTCAATACACGTTGTTTCGTCGTTAGTTTTGCTCTTTTGTTTGCAGTAAATGTAGGGAAAATAATCAATGTACACAACATTGAATACATGTTCTTTAAAATCCTGAAAATCGCTTGGAAGTAAATCGAGTGAGTAATTTCTTGAAACGTAACCATCATATTGCAATTTTTGATAAAGAATTAATTTCCCACTGGATTTTCCACAATAGAAACATATAGTAAACACTTTAACTTCTAAACCAAATTCAATTATGATGTTTCGTCCAGATTGGCGTAAATTTCTCCAAATCGTCACATTCCCAAAAGTTTCAGTATTTGATGTTATGAAAATAAGAACATCATGAGAACGTACGTTATGTTGCATGTTCAAGTAAAACAAAAATTTCTCTGGATTTGTGAAAATAATTAAATTGAGACATTGATGGCTTATTGGTCTTGTTATATTTTTGCCACCTGGCATGTCGTTGTTGTAAATCGTCGTAAAGGTTTGATATTTTGAAAGAATTTCATATGCGTAGTTTTGTGTAATGTTATCCACGTGCACAATTAGATAGAATTCGGAGTATATTTGGAGTATGTTGGTGAGAATATTTGTGTCGCTTTTGGTTGGGTTTGTGATTTTGAAATTTGTGTAGTTGATGCTAAAGACAGGGGTGATTAAGACAATAAAAATAAGTGAGTACATTTCGATCGGTTTTTGTGAATACTGAACCAATTCTAAATACTTTTACTGTGTTGTTGACGATGCTTTAATAATCAAATTGTTTGATAACATTGGAATACAATTAATTATCTTATTAGCTTTAACACAAAAAGAAAAAAATAGGTGCAGCCTACATTTAATAATAATAATACATTATGGGACAATTTCAAGTAGGAAGTAATCAAACAGATCAAACCAAAATTTAATGCTTGTAATTGTAATGTTGTTTTACATTTATTTGAATTATTACTAATAATAATAATTAACAAAAAAACTTTTATTCCTTTATTTTTATTACAAAACTTACCTTTTTTTTTAACTTTTTTTAAACATTTTGTTTATTTATACACTATTACTTATGCTATGTTCACTTATTTGTTCTTATGCTCTTCCTCTTTATTATTTCTATTTATTTCTTGCGTTTTTAAAACGTTTTTGTACTTTTCTAAATCTTTCAAACCCCCAAGACTGCAAATGGATCAATTTTTAAGTTTTTAGTTTTTTCGATTTTTTTTCGAAATTTTGGGCGATTTTCGGTACCCGGAGCGGTTTATTGTTAATAACTTCGGAATTGCTAGTCCTTTTTGTGTGGTACCGTTGAAAGGCAAATTTAATTTTTTTTATATTAAAAAAGATAACTGTCCTACGTTAAATTGCTGATAAAGTCAAAAATATCCAAAATATTTACATCTATAACTTCTAAACGATCAAGATTTTTGCAGTTTTCTCGACGCCAATCGATTTCTCGGAACATTTTAGATATCTATGTCATGCATAAAAACATTATAGCGCTTGAAGTACAGTTTTCTTCTAAAGTTATGACAACACCGAAAATAATTGAATACAAAATTCGAATCTTTAATTTGGTTGTTTCTAAAATATAATTTTAGTTTTATTACCACTGCAAAATAATTTTGCCTGATTTTGTTTGTATATTTCTCTATTTTCATAAGTGAAATCTAAAATCTAAGTATTTATCTGCAAAACTACTTATTTAGAATTTAAAAATAAATTTTTGAATATCAGTAATTTTTTTATATTTTGACAAAAGTTGTGCAATTTTTTGACAACAAATCCTTACACTTTTGAGAAATTATAGTCAAATAAATAGAACGAACTTGAATATAAAATAAATTCTACAACAAACTTCTACTGTATCTTAAATTTAGAGTTTTTTTTAAATTAATCACTTCTTCATATTTCTGTTATTTCTCTTTTTCCCTTTATTTTTCCACGCAAAGTAGCCCAATTCCATGAAAAACGCCAAAACAGAGCCAAAAATCGCACCAAGATGTAACAAACACACCATTAAAAAAGCATCAGAATCAATTCGACTGTCATTCTTGGCCACATTTTTTCGAAATTTGCGAAATTCTTTATTCAAAAACGCATCTCTTTCCCATACTTTAAAAAAACCTCCTGAAATCACTAAATACTGAAAAGTTTAATAAACCATCAAGAAATACCACTCATCATTTGTTTTATGCCATAATTAAAACTATCAACAAATGGCGTCCCAAATCTAAATGCCCACGCATAAGGAAGAAAACCAAAAGTTTTTGTCGAAAAATGGTCCAAATTTTGTGGTGGTTTCTTGTAATAATGTGAACAAAACAGTTTGCTGTGATATAAATTTCGCGATTTTTCGCCCGCAAGAATAGCTTTGTGTGTTTCAATATATTCTGTAATTTCGCAAACGTCATTTTTTTGTACATTAGATGACCTGGAAATCTGTTTTAAGAAATGAAATTTGCATTAAGAACTCTCACTTTAAAAGCAATGATTTTTCTTCATCCGAAAATAATTCTGTGTAAAAAAATAATCTGTTCTTATCACCTACAAAATTATATCCTTCACCAATTAATTCCTTTAGAGTTGAGGGAGGAACACTTGGATAAATCATATAAGCGGTTAATCGAGATTTGAAAATCACGTTTATTACCATTACGAAAAGCCACCAACTTGCAAAGAGCGAGAAAAAAGTTGGTTGTTTTAGTAGAATTTTTTTAAGTTTGATTGGTTGCTCGAGGCTGCTTTTTAACAATACCTAAAAGAGTTTTCACAAAATTGATTTATTTTTTATACTCACAGTCACAATTTTCCTGTATGGCAATTTTAAATAATTATTACAGTATTTTACAATTGCAAAAACACAACAAGAGATTATTAACAAAGCGGTTAAAACACTGATCCATATTTTGACACTGATAAGTCCTTTCAAGTATGAAATTTTTAATAAGAACGGTCTTTGATAAATAAAAAGAAAAACTGTTTCTTCAAATTTTAGAACTATGCTAAATTTGAGTTTTTTTCTCCTTTCAGTTGTTAAAGTTACTCCACCGATGCTTAAATCGTAATTTCCAGATACCAAACCGTCGATTAATCCCCCATAGGTGTAATTCGGTGCTTGAATTAGTGAAAAAGTGAAATTAAATTTACCACTCAACGATTTTAACAAATCGTATTCTATTCCAAAAGCTTTCTTACAAATTATTTCATTCCCTCTCGAATTTCTTTCCAGACAATAAATAAAGGGAAAGTAATCGATATAGACAACTTTTAATAAATGCCCCTCAAAATTCCGAAAATCATGTGGTTGTAACTGAGGAAAATTTTCAGAAAATTTTTCGTATGTTATTGTTTTCAGCCGATTTAATTGACCGGTTTTTTCTTGACAGTAAAAACATATTGTGAATATTTTGACTTTTGCGCCAAGTTCAATAATGATACTTCGTCCAATTCTGGTCAAATTCGTCCAAATTTGTTTACTTGTAAAACTTGAACTTGTCGAAGGTGTTGTGAAAAAAATAACCACGTCTTTTGAATTAACGTTGTTTAAATAATTTAGAAATGTTGTCGGATTTCCCAAAACTACTAAATTGAGGCACTGGTGAGCTAGGGGTCTTGTCAAATTTCTACTAGAAAAATCATGGTTGAATATTGTTGATACAGTTGAATGTTTGGAAAGAAAATCATTTATGATATTTTGAGATGTTTTGTCGTAGTGGATGACCAACTCGAATTGCTTATAATTGAGCACAATTGTCCTCAATATGTTGGTGTAGTTTAAATTTTGGCTCGTAGGGAAATTATAAAATTTTGAGGTTGAAACTAATTGAATTGAAAGAGCTAAAAGTGTAGTTATTAAGAGCATTGTTGCGGAGGTAATGGCTTCATTGTTATTTGTTATCCACTGTTTATTTTAATTATGTCAATGGAATCGTTGTTTCCGAATTTGTTTTATTAAAAGAACAAAAAAAAACAATTAGTTGAAATTTGATCATTTTACAGTAATTTTCGTACTGAATAAAAGTTGAAAATTATAAAGTAATATTAAAAAATACACATCAAGGAAAAAAATTATTAAAAACAAAAAACTAATTGTGCTAACTGTTTTTTTTTTTCAGGACAAGCAAGTGAATTTGCTAGAATTGGTCCACGAAGAAGACATTTATTACCAGTATTTCGAACCAATCGTAACGACTAGTTGGTTACCAGAACACAAAGAGTTAAACAAAACATTAAAAAACTACTTTTCCACGATGTGTCATATGGTGGTTAGTAGTGATATAGAAATAAGAAAAATGGTTTTGACAAATATAGGAGAAAATCCTCGGATAGGTCCTATAATTGAGTGGTTTTACAATTTCGGTTATATTCTCTTATCAAAAGATATAACTTACGATTGTTTGACTTTACGAGCTTTAGATTTAATTCGAGTTTTAGAAAATAGCCCAATGTGTAGAATAAATGTTTCCGAGAAACAGGTACGTATTATTATTTTTTTTATAATAAAATAAAAGAAAATTTCAGTTAAAATTATTAGTGAGACTAATTTTACAACGTTTGCTTAAATCGACGACTACAAGTGAAGTATTAAAACCCATGTGCAACGTCTTGGCGATATTGTCTCAAAGGGGACCGTTACGAGAGTTCACAATTTTGAAAATTTTCCAAAAATTAGATGAAGTTTTCCACAACTTTGCTCTCCCTGTTATCACAGCAGTAAATAGTCTCGGGCTTGATGCCATACAAAGCATCCTGTTACCCAATCTTAACCTATTCTTGACTAGAGTAATGGAAAAGCAAGATTTGGCTTTTAATTATTCCATATTGGTAAGTATTTTTGTTCTCTTATTTTTATCATGATTATTTTTTTGTTACAGGAATCTTACAATATCCTCTGTAAAGAGCACCTCATCGACTCGTTCCTTTACGATCCATTCGTGGAGCTTTTTGCCGATTCTATGGTACTTTTCAATCGCATCCAAATCACATCGAGGAACACCCCCAAAAGAGAGATCAATTTTGCACACTCCAAGTGTGAACTCCTCAAAACTAGGAGAAAAATCTCTCCACATGCTAAATTGAGAATCGGTGTGTCGATTGAGGAGGTCTTCGATCTACCTCCGGAAAATTCCGAAGTTAGGAAAAAAATGCAAGGGACGAAATGGGAGGGGGGCAAGGGGGACAGTTATGTCATTGTTGGGAAAACCAGTTTGTTGTTACCGGTTTTTGCCCGGAAACATAGGACTTATGAAAAGTGTTTCGACCACTCGTTGGCGTGGTATAATTTATAGTATTAAATAAATCTCGAACTGATTTTGTGAGTTTTGTAATGCAAACACTACATTTTTGTGATTTAATAACGTCAATTGTTTTTTTTATCCAAATTCTCATCTTAAGGTGGGACGTAGTGAAGTGGAAAGGCTTGTCACCTCGTTCAAGATTTCTAAAAAAAATCAATTAGGATTAATAAACATCAAAATTATTGATTTGTTTCGACCGAAAATATAAAAGTTTTTGACTGAAATTTGTATTTGAACCAGAGAATTCACGTGACTACCTACATTCACCAATTAGATTCAATAACTCAGTTAATTGAAACTTCGCGCCCTTGCCCGTTGGGGTAAACGTAAATTTTTTATTTGTTTTTTAGACCTCTTAGAGAATTTTTACTATTATTTCCAAACATACCTGTTATCTGTAAATCTAAACTAGCTTCAATCTTATCACCACTATTAACAAAACTGAATTTTCTCAAATGTACAAGTCTTGAAAGCGGCATTTCTTTCCTTTGGCCTGAAATAAAACAAATTCGTGATAAAATGCCTCAAAGTTTTGATTTACATACTTTGTTTTGTGCTGTTTGAAATTAGTTTTTTTGTGACGTTATTTTTGACTGGTGTGCGATACAAAACGCTCCGGTCTTGTAATATTTGCTTTCCTCTGTTGATTATATGATCTAAAAAGGGGTTTCCCGTTGGTTCCATTTGTTCCGGAAGTGCATTTTTATTGACATTGTTTGGGACATCGTCATCGGAAAAACAAAACCACAAACGCTTCAAAACTGTCAAAAGAATTCGACACCTCTTCAACACCCGTTTGCAATTGTCTAAATCGATGTTATTGTCAGTGAGTAGGACTTTCGAGGCGCTTTCTGTTTCTTGCAAAACTATAATTAACGTAAAATCGTTGTGCAACAACTTGGATAGATGTTACCTTCATTGAAATCTACAATTTTTGTTTGAATTTTGCTCAATTCGCTTTCGGTAAATTCACATTTTGCTGTCTCTAAAAACGTCTGCAACACTCTTGCAATTGAGAGAAAAGAATGAACGTTGTTTTGCCTAATTAAGATTTTTTTCTTTATCAAATCTGATAAATTTTCAGCGATATCAGAAGCTTCGTCATAAATCACCTAAGAAGTTTCTTTTTAAAACAAAATTGAAAAAAAAATTAATAGTAACCTGACAAAATGCAAAAGGATCAATTATCAAGTAAATAAGTCGTTGTAAGCAAATCGCTTGATTCAACCAATGTTTCATCAAAATTGACGCACAGTTGATATTATGGACCGAATTATCTAGCAAAAGTGATGTCAAAGCTGGGACAAGTTCGCTCTCGAGTGCCTCCAAACTAGCCAAACAGCTACGAATCTTAATTCCCCCTTAAATTAACAAATTAATTTTTTTTCAAGTAAAAATAGGCAAATTACGTGCAAAATCACTTGAACAGGAAACAGCAAATAAGCCGATTTGCATGATCCGATCCACGTGCAAATCAAAATCAGCCACTAAACCGTCAAGTTCCTCATTTCTAGCCCCATTATCGGAGTTGACACAAAAATCGTGAATTTTTTCCAAGGGGGTCGTAAATTCGGAAAATGTTTTTAGACACAAGCGGAGGACTGCTGTGTTGACTTTCCTTTCCAAAATACACAGTTTGTCACTGCAGGCGTTTGTGCATAAATTAATCATAGCTGCGTTTGGAATTGTGCTATTTTTTTCAATTTCCAGTGAATTCAAAGCGGTCAGGACCTACGATTAAACAAAATGAATAATTTACAACACGAGATGACAACACTGACTGATTGGCAGCCCCCTCTTATGCTTTTGCTGTCTTCAAGGAGTGAAACCTGAGCTATGGACATGGCATGTGCTAGCACCTCCTCAAATAAGTGTCTCGCTTCGTCGTAAACCTCGTTTTGGTCACAAATGTTTATTTCTGAGATTTTTTCAAGGGCTGCGTCCATCCATTTCACGAAATTACCAGAAGGGTCAGACTTTATACATTCCATGCCTACTTGGATCAACTCCAAACAGCATGTCATTTGTTTTATTACACATTTCCTAGCCTCCTGGAGACAAATTATAATTTGCGTTTTTTTTTTTCACTTTTCACAAAATGTGAACTTACGCCCACGACTTGTTGAATTTCGTCCTCACGGACGAAAATGTTAATTAGGAGAGACAAACAAGTGAGGGTTTGGGTCAAGTACAGAAGTAAAGTGTTTTGAGTTTGATTAGCAGTTTCATCCTTAGATTCTTTGTAATAACGACCGATTAGTTTAATTATTGTCGTTAAGTGTTGACAGAGGCCCTAAAAATTAACAAATAAAAGTTTTATTTACGACAATTTTTTAACTCACTTGAAACCATTGCAAAATGTCATTTCGATTAAAACTAACACAGTTCAAAGTCTGAAGATACCTCTCACAAGTAGCAAAATTTCTATTTAAGTTACTTTTTATTAAAGTTACTTTAGGTGAAATCATTTCACCGTTTAAAAATACGTTGTTAATATTCAAATTTGACAACAAGTGTCGCCACCATAGTTTGCACTTCTCAAAATCCTCCATGACCAAATAACTAAATAAATTTTCATTAATTAAAACAAACGAAGTGTAAAGGTAATAGGGGCACATTTATATTTTTAGTATCTGAAAGTAATCATATGTAATTTTTGCACATCTGAAGCGATGAATTCAAAACATTTCTCGACGCGGTTCTTAGTGTATTTCTTTCTAATGGATTGGTATTCTACTGGTGAAAACTTTTTGAATGATTTTTTGAGGTTATTATAAACAAATCGTGTAAACAATCCAAAAATTGCTGTTTTTAATTATTAATCATCGTTTAAAATGAAGACAAGCAACGATTTGAAAATGAAGAAACTACTATCAAGTGTAGTCGCACTGCGTTAAACAAACTGTGATTATTTTAAAACCATGTTTGAGGCCTTTGAGGGGAACTTCGCCGAAAGCAAAAAAATCAGTAATTACATTAAATGTACGTGTTTTAAACATTTTTTTGTATTCTTATTTGTAATTTTAGGGCGTACCTAAAGCTGTGAAAATAATTTTAATGTTTTAATGGGATAGAGAAAAGATGTAAGTAATCTTGTCTGTACTCCAAGCAGCATGGATTTTATATTTTTCTTAAATTAGGTACATATGCATTGAATGAATTGTCTCAATGTTGTATTTTAACAACTGTCTTTAAAATTTCTTATTGAAATTTTCGACATCACAAACCAAAACCAAGTTATTAATCATTCTTTAAGTTCATATCAATCAAACAAAAATTCAAGTTATTTCCTAGAATTAAGTTTTGATTTATTGGTTATTTAATTTATTTGTACACTTGTTGAGAATTTTTTAAATCAATTATGAAATTGTAGGTGTCTCAATTTTAGGGATTTTGAAATTTTATTAAACTTGTTACGCAATGGACAAAATCATTGATAATTCCATTATTAGTTAAAACGGTACCCTTTCTGATATTTTAAAGTGTCGTTGCTCCTAAAATTATTTGTGTTTGTATCAGTAGAAAATGAATTATAACAATACCCAAACTTTTCTCAGATAAAAAATCGTTAGATTGAAAAATTACTCACTGGAAAGAACAATGTTCCTACTGCTGTTTCTTTGGGTCCCATTTTTATTTTTTGATGTTTAAAAAATTCACAACAGTTCACAACCTGAAAACAGTTTACTTTTTTGTACGAGTCTGGTAAAATTTGCTCGAAACACTCTTTAATTTTATTTCTGACTGTTGGAAAATATAGAAGTAAACGTTGGAATTTTTTTCATTAGTTTTTAGGAATTCTGATAAAAGGCGTAATTTAGAGATTTGTTTTTTTTGATACGATATTGGGGTAAGATGATTTTTTTAACTTTTTATTTTGTTTTAGACAAGTAGTAAAGGTAAAACTTCCATGGTTGGGTACACAGATCAATTTTTGTACATTTCAACGAAAAGAAATTATTTTGAATGTTAGAAAAAGTGTTAATTGCATTCTCCTGAGAATATGGAATGGGAAATAAAATAAAATAAAATAAAACAAATTGTTAAAACAAATGTCCATTTACAAGAAAATCTGTCTGTTTCGTTAATGTTTTTCATCATAGCTTAATTATTAATCTTTTGAGAACGCATCAGTGATAAAATTGAATACAAAATGTTGCACAATTTTTCACATTAGAACAATAACTTATCATCTGTTTCTGATGATGTAACATCGGTAGACCAGTGAAAGGGCGATTATGGTCATCATAATTTACGACACACATTCCTACTTGTCTTGTTATAATTCGTATCAACTTAGATGATTTCGATATGTTATGTACATAAAAGTTTATATCATTTAAAATTAATAGTTTGGTAATTGTAAATAATAAAACCTTGACCAGTGACTAAAATGTAATAGTTTCTGCCGTTTTTAGTAAAATATGTTAGTACATTACTTCATTTCGATGATGCAATTGAAGCAGCTTGTGTTTTAATAAATTTTAAGATTGCGTTAAAAAAAAGATGTAAATATATACCAACGTTTAGAATAATTTGTTGACCATTCACTTTGGGGTATTTCCTGTATTATGGCACAATTTGATAAAACAAGTGTAGGCAGATGGCATATTGAGTATATGGAGTTATTTGCAATGTCCGCAGAGCATCTCTCCTTTCACTCGAGACATTATTATATGGGAAATAGGTAGCGGAACCGGAAGACGATTCGTTGAAAAACCTGTAAAGTATGTAGACACAAGTAGTGATCATTTGTTGCACTACTTCACATGTTTTGTCCACTTACAATAGACTATACATAAGTTTATGTGAAAAGTGTTACGTATTTCATTACTTAATATTTTATTGCGATGAGTACTGTTATTTAAAAGTAAGAGCTTATTAGATGTTTTGCCTTAGAGTAGAGGTACGCAATTATTACTTAACAAATGTGTTACACGCAAAATCATTTGTACTAAATAACACGAAAAAATTAGAATTCTGTATTAATAATCCAAGTGATTTTTCTCCACCAGATCAAGGTAAAGTGACATGCAATGACTGATCTTGGCAAACTAGAAAGCAAATTTCTACACTTGGACATCCTTGAATTTACGTCATTGTAAACTTTCTTTTCGTTTATTCTTCAGAAAAAACTATGCTTTGTAAAAATATTCGTCAATTCGAATTTCACTTCATTGTCAAGGTTGACGAAGTTTTTTTGTATTTGCTAAACATCAATATTAAAACTGTTTACTAAATGCAATATGTTCATGTGTCAATGTTTAAATTTAAACAGAATGAGCGGTAAAGGTGAACATACTGTTTACATAAAAGCAAAAAGTGAATTTATTGTTTGTTTACAGACTTGTTGCTCGTTTTCACCCAACAAATATTCCTACCGATTTCTTACACGGTAGTGAGCAAAACGCTGAAATTATTGGGAGTTATCAAACAATTTTTTTATTTCTTACAAAGACTGTAAAACATAATACGAATAACATAAAATGTTTCTTTTTAGATCTTTTATGGTGTAACTTGCAACTTGAAAACAATTACGCGGAAAAAAGGATTCCTTCTTCTCGATTTTTGCTGAATTTAACGTATTTAAATACTAAGAACATTTAAAAATATAATTTTTCGTACAGTACAAAAAAAATCAATCAATAACAGTAAAAAATACAAAAGTGGTTAATGTATATATACAGGGTGTCTCAAGTTTTAGGGTCGACGCAAAAATAAATATTTCTAATTGATTAAAAAATAATTTTGATAGTGTAAACGATAGAGAATTAAATACACTTTAATTTGATGTTTTGTTATTGTACAATTGTTGTCTCAGTGAGACCTTAAAAATTCAATTTGGAGAAAAAAATTTCAATTAACTGGAATATTTTTCTTTGATTTTTTTCTGTGGTATTTGTGAAAATAGAATAACGATAAAGTTATAACGATAATGTTAATTACTCAAAATCTATCAACTTTTACAATATTCAATTTCCACAGTTACCATTAGAAAAAAATCAAGAAATTTTATCATGTAGAAAATATTCCAATTAATTATTTTTTTTCCAAATTTGGCTTTTGGGGTCTCACTAATATGTATAAGTTAAAAATTTTGAACAATATTAAAGCATCAAATTGAAGTCTATATAAGCCTCTATTGTTTGCGTTAGCAATTTTTTTTAATCAATTAGAAATGTTTATTATTGCGCAGGCCCTAAAACTTGTAAAATAAAAAATGTAAAGAAAATATAGTATACAGGTGCGCCAGAACTCGCGCCCCAGAGAAAATTTTCAAGTAAGGTAAGATACCAGGAACATGAAAAAAATGTTTAAAAAATTCTATCTGACAAAAATTTTGACATTTATTTTTTGAGATTTGACATTTTTTTATATCTATTTAAGGATACTGATGGTCTTGTATATGTTTTTTTACAATTATTTAGTAAAGGGACAAAAATTTTGCCAATAAAAGCCACAAATAACATTGAACAGAGTTACAATTTAGCTTCCTTGTTTCCTCTTTTAATAGCCTATAGCAAAAAAACTTGAAAAATTATTTTTCCAACAGAAATAAATAGAGTCAAAATGCAAACTTTAAACCCTCATAACTTCGAAATTTTTATAGATAAAATTTTTTTAACATTTTTTCCATGTTCCTTATATGGCCTTTTTCTTTGGGACGCGAGTTCTGGCGCACCCTGTATACATGTTTAAAGTGCCAAATTGTTGAATTTTGAAAAATAATACACTATTATTAAATTAAATATTATAAATAAAAAAAATCGGAAGAATTTTAAAATATTTGACTTTTTTTTGTTAACCTAACAAAAAAAACACAGGAGGGATTTCTTCTTCTCTATTTTTGCTGAATTTAATATATTTACCCAAAAGTTAAGAAGTTAGCAAATTTAAATTTATTCGGGGACTATCCATTTGGATAAGGCAAATATTGAAATCACCTTGTAACCTATGGTTTTCAAATTAAGTTTATCACACTATTAAATAAAATAGAGACAATGTTACCAACTTAATTTAAAAATTACGTCTATTTTGATCTTAAATTTAATTTGGAACACGTTGTAAAACTTCCAATAAAGCGAGAAAACTTCTATTTATAATAAACTGCATGATGATATTTTGATGTATTAACAATTTCTTTGGCCAATCCCAGAGGTGAAAGGTAGCAAACCCTTGTTTAAAAAATAGAACATGCTTGAAGAAGAATACTTCAAGTAAAAGTACAAAACTAGACCTCATAAAATACAAAGCTAATACCAAAGATCATGAAATATCTCCTACTTTGCTCTCATTAAACCAGAACTATGATGATCTAATCGTCAACTCTCTACCACCTCTATTTGCAATTTTTCAACACAGTTTTATACGTAGCAAATGCTCTTCAATCATTTTTTTATGTATGTTGCACACGTGATTGTTTTATTATTCCGAATACATGCGAACCGCTTGAATGACAAGGGCGGTACCACAATTAAACACATCATTTGTACTTTGTTCACATCAAACATGTTGTAATTGCTTCGACAGTACGTACTTTTGTATTGTATCTGAATTTCAAACATTGTGAAATAACTGCGAGAAAATAAATAAAAATTTATTTGATACAATAGCACCTACTGTTTCAAAAGAGTAGTTTACCTAAAGTGTTGTTTTATCGCTTCTTAATGTAGATTATAAATTTCACATCTGCTAATAGAGTAGAAACAACTGTTTTGCAACAGATCGGGTGGTGTTTTTTTAAACTTTTTAGTCCCCTAAAGCATCTCCATTTAGGTGCTTCATAAATTTTGGTTGTGGACACTCATAAATCGAGTAGAAAGTTTGATTGCAACACAATACCGCCACTAAATTCAATTAGAAGTAGCCAAAAATCTGTGAATTGCTTGGCTATTCGAATGGGAAGTGAAGGGGGTCTCTGGTGAACCGTCGAAAGGTCGGAGTTCACAAGATGGCAACTTGTCGGTGGCATGATGAACAAAGAAAGTGATGGGTTTCTTTGCGTACTTGGCAGACGGAGGCAAGTGAGAGTGCGGAAATAACTCATTTGCCTCACGGTTTCCTTTTTCGACAAAATTATGTAAGGTCCAAAGTAGGGATTTGTTTGCCAACTGGTGATTTATTAGTTATTAGAAGAACATACAAGTGGTTTTAGTTTAAAAAAAACTCAAGAATATCTCAATATTTTCCACAACAAGTGGAAAGTTTGTAGTTGGATTGATTCCATCATCTCACTTTCAAAATACTGTACTGTCAATGTTAATGAACCAGTTTTGTGTTTGAGTCAAAATTTGAAACAAGAGTCTTTGTTTGTGTGTCTAATTAATTACTGTGTGTTAAATTTACCATGGAACATGAGTCAATTTAGCTCATTAAAATTTATGATTGTGCTCAACTACAACAAATGTTTTGCCCAGAAGCAATAATCGATAATAATTCGTTCTTTGTCATTATCATACATTACATTAGATATAAATTATTTAAATTTTACCGTCAATACGAGTATAAGATTTTTTATTTGAAATTGGGAAAGCGGAGATGAAATTTTTCCGATAGTTGGAATATTTTGTTCCGATATCTCAATTAAATGTAACATAATCAAAATAAAAAGTGACGTCACGAACTACAACTTTCCAAGTTATGTATAATGGAGAATTTTCACCTTGTAGTAAATTGTATAACAAATTCAATCGGTGCATTTTTTTGATATAAAAATATTGTTTTAAATTTCTTAATATTGATAGTTTTTCATTTTCAAAAGAGTAAATTTAATACTATAAATGCTAATTTTACAACATTATTAAGCCTAATTTAAAGTCAATAACACCTCGAAAATGCATAGTTAAAAAATAATTAAAATTTACTTATTGTTACGAGAAAAAAACTTAAAAGGTGTACATAAGAGTATCCAATTAATGAGGTATCAATTTAAGACAAGTTGAATTACTAAAGATAAATTGCGGAGGTTAAAAAACCATTATGAAGTACTAGCTTAAAAAATTCTTAGGAAGAAATTCTCAAATAAAAAAAAAATATCAAATCAGCTCAAATTAATCGCAATTAATTAATAAAGAAAAATTGAATGAATTTGATCGTAATTAAATATTTTGTAAACTAGTCCTAACTAAAGGTTACATTTCAAAAGTGCCATAAATGTAATTAAATTTCTGATCAAAGTAGTTTTTGATTTCAAAATCTTTGGTCACTTTGTTTAACTATCAAATCCCGACTTTTGATTTATTTCTTCAACACTCAGAGAAAATTAATCAGGACAAATTTTGTGACAATAACACATACAACTCGTAAAAAATCAACTTTCACCGTATATTGTATATCTGTACATTTTTTGTCAGCTTCAGTTCCTTTTTGTGACAGTCAAAACGTTTTCATTTTTATAAATGAAATAAATTTAATAATTGCAATGGGAATTTTTGTTTTTTACCCAAAGGCCATGAACTTGCCACTTATGTGATTCTTGGGGTTTTTCTTGCATAATTTTTGAAATGATGTGCCATAAATTGAGAAATCCACAAATATGTAGGTTTGGGTCAGGATCACGGTTTATTTGTATTGCCAAATCCTGAAAATTCGAGGACTGTAAAAGTGAAATTGTGAATATTATGTATGTTGTGAACGGCTTGTCGTTGATAAAGTTGTGAAATACATGATGCTCAAGAACTGGAGGTGCGAATAGAAAAAACAACTTAATCTGCGATTTCA